CGCGACCACTGCTCTGCCTCACTCGCGACCACTGCTCTCCCTCACTCTCTTTGTCTCTGAAGTTGATCAAGCTCCTCCTGGGATGGCAGGAAGGAATCGGAATCATACGGGGTGTCTGGCTGAGAGCCTGGCTCGGCATGAACACCCAGCTGTATCATTAAAGGCACTAACCTCTGTTACAGCCACCGCGTCTCATCAGTTCAGGCCCGGGAAGCCTAGCCCACCCATTAAGTTGATGCCAGCCAGTCAATGGAGGGGTAAGCTATGAAACCAAGGGCTCTGAAACATAGAAGCTGAGACTCGCAGCCCTTTTCTCGCTTTGAAAGGCAGCAGATTCCAAGTTTGACTGATGGGGAATCAGGCAGCCGACGGCTCCTAGGAGTGCTCCCTTCACAGGACCATGGGAGAGGGAGGCTAGGCTGTACTAGAGCGGGGGTACGGGGAGAGGAAAGTGTGGTCTGGCAGAGGGACAGACTAGTGGAAAAGCAGCTCATAAGTTGAAAAAAATGTTCTCAGGGCTGAAGAGCTGGCTCAGTAGCTAAGGACACTTACTGTTCTTGCAGAGGACCGGCATCTACATGTCTGCTCACAACCACCTGTCAAGCTGCTTCCTGGGAACCTGGTACCCTCTTTTGGTCTCTGTGGGCCTCGGGCACATGCATGGTACACACATACACACACATATATATATAAATACAAACACATACACACATACATGTATATACACACACGCATATACACATATATATAAATATACGCACGTGTATAAATATACATATATAAATACACACACATATAAAAATACACACACATATATATAAATACACACATATATATAAATGCACACACATATATGTATACATGCAGGCAAAACATTCATACACACAGTGTTTTAGCTCTCCTGTCATGTGTCTACCCGAACATTGCCTTAATGAGAGATAAAACTTTTGTTTCCTATAACTAAAACCCACTGATTAAACTCACACCAAAAAAAAAAAACACAAAAATTCAAGGGGCTGAGGAGATGGTTCAGTGAGTAAAAGCCTTGGCTCTGTAAGCACAGGACTTCAGTTCAAATCCCCAGCGCCCACATAAAGAACTGGGCGTGGCCATCCGTGCACATAACCCCGGCGCTGGGAGGGAGAGATGGGCAGAACCAAGAGCTTGCTGGCCATCTTAGCGGCCACCCCACGCTGCTCTGTGAGGGACCCTGCCTCAAAGCCTAAGCCAGAGCCAGAAGCAAGATACCAAAAATGAGCTCTGGCCTCTGCATGAGCTTTCTCAGGTGTTCACACATATGTTCTCATATGTGCACCATACACACAACACACAACGCATAGTGCACATGCCAAAAAGAATACGCTAAGTGTATAGTTTTAATTTAAACCTTATCTGTTTTGAGGGAGACAGACACTTTCTGAAAAGTTTATGAGAAATGCAGTAGGTTAAGAAGAGACCTCGAAGGGACGGGCCTTTATTTATTTCCACCAAAATGGACGCCCATGGCTCGTACTACAGGTCAGAATAACGGGTGTCCCAGC